AAAACGGAGCAGTGATGTCAAGCTCAAAATGCCAAGGATGCCTATTCCTAACAATGAAAAATCTATTTATCCAAGCCCTTGAAAGGCCACATGGCCGAACAAGAAGAAAATAAATGAAAAAAAAGAGATAGTTCTGGATCTATCTCAAGCAGCTCGTTTATTAGTTCTTTTCTTTGTATTCTACAAACCTTGTACATGGCATATTAATTATATCAATATTAATAAATTTCATTGAACTGTCATTAATATCTGCCATTAGTTAAATCACATGCATCTGCTGTACTGTCAGCTTTAAACAATTAAAAATGTTTATTAATTGTCTAAAACTGATTGTATACAGGACACTTAATTATTGGACTACATGGGGTCGCGAAACGTTGATTTTAATGCACAGATACCAACTAAGTAATTGTTTTTTTAAAATATGAATTGATTTGATTGTCTTTAATGTAAGAGGATATCACTGCCAATAAAAATATTCAATATTTTGGCAATGATTTTGGTCTCCCCTTTAATTGGAAAAGTATCCTGGTACCTGTCCACCCTACTTACCAAGTTTGGCATGCCCAAAGCAGAAAAGACAGCCGTCGGATCCGTTAATGACCGCATGGATGACGTCGATCAGTGCGCTTGAACAGATCTCCGTCTATAACAGAAGCGGATTAAGAACGTGAGAACATACAAAAAACAAAAATATCTGCTAGAAAGATTATAGCAAAGACGCATGTCATTTGGTTACGGTCGGCTTACTTTCTAGCTTACTACATACTTATGTAGTAAAAAGGAAGTGTACAAATTCTGCAGCGGAAAGTGGTGATTTTTCGACAGAATAATTCGTATTGAGGGGCCCTGATGTTAAAAGAAAGAAATAAAGTTTGCTTTTATACGTAGTAAATTTCCCGCAAACGGGGCAAGACTGTGCTACATGAAGTGAAAATATGCCAGGCTCCATTTCTTGAGATATACGTATCCTTTTGGAAGGTATAGGAACTTTGCTGTTTCTGATTTTCACAAATATGTGTATAATGACCCTGGAAAGTCTTAATTTATAAAAGTGATTCAGTTTCAAGTGTCAAGTACCATGCTCAATGTTTGTGCATAATTAGTATGGGATTACTTTATTGAGTATTGTCGATTTTTTGTTTGCAATTGGCATATTAACTTTCCTCGACACGGGCATTGACCAAAGCGCTGGAAACAGTTTGCCATCCTGGCCAAGGTTTTCCTAGGTCATATAGGCGAATGCTGGGATGGTTCAAAAAAGCTCAAGATCACCTTTCATCTCTCATCATCATCCTATCAACCTCATAATTCAAGGCTTATCAACGTTGTCTTACCAAGGGATACAGCCAAAAAGCTGGTCCATGTAATGGCACACGTTAACCTCTCCGGAATAGAATGACTGAGCCTCGGAGGAGAACGTGTAGCGTGCTCAGAAATGGCCGATACGCAAATAGTAATAGTAAAAGTAATAATAATAATAATAATAATAATAATAATAATAATAATAATAATTCTACTGTGGAAGAAGGTATACGGTTTATTTTTAATTGTAACACATATTTTATTGAAATGAAAATTGTATGCGTACTCGAAAGATGCCTGATTCCTACCTCGACGTTGCCATTCCCATAAGTGATGTGGTATGATTTTACTAGATAATTATTTTTTCAGTAATTTTGAGTATTTTACGGGCATTTTTATGCCTTTCCCTTTCCCCTGGCAGGATAGTCAAAGTCAAGTATTTGAGTTAAATGTCGACTTTATTGCCTTGCACGATACAAGGGATACAGAAGTATACAACACAAGTATCAATTAGACCCCTTCTTTCTCAAGCCAAAACTTCATTAGCATTTTCTCTCGTGAAAATAAAGTGATACTTTAGCAAAGGGAAAATTGCGATTAAAATATGTCTTTAATCACTTTTAAAAATATACAGTTATAAGAGAGACACCCAATTAAGAGCACATTGGTGCTCCCCGAACACATGTATCGCGGTCATGGTATCCATTGACCTTATCTCGGCGCCTGTACAATTGTTCTAGGCGTAGGGAACTAGTTCTTCAATTAAACACACACACATTCATGAGAGACCAAGTGAATCTGGAAGGAAAATGGATGTAATACAGGAGGGAATCGGAATGCCCCCACATCACGAACACAACTTAAAACATTCATGGTTTACGCGGGTTCCGAACCCATAGTCTTCCTGTCCGCCTACTTGGGGCAACGTACCCTTAGAACATGTCCCATGACGCTGAATCACTTCACCGTACTATTTGTAAACGTGTTACGGTTAGGTGACATAATTTAAGATTAATAATGTAACTAAATCTCATTATTTTTATGCTTTTTATGCCAAGTTTTTAATGTCCTTTTCCGCACTGAATCGGCGTATTTCAGTTAATTTTAATCAATTCAATTTTTCCCTTCCATAGCAACAACGCCAACAAAGTTACTTTAGCATTCAAATCTATATCATCGCAATCATTAATGAACCATTTTCTCAAAATTATTGAACACTACACAAAATATTACGGAATGACATTAATTTTTGCAGTACGTATCAGTTCACAGAATAATTTAGTTTATTCTCATGTACGATATATATCGAGAAATAAATTTTCTATAATAACATTTTTTATATTTTCTCTGAATTTCAATCCCCTGTCCGTAAAATGGCCTTAAAATACCGAACAAGATTAAAACGTGGTTCTATTCGTAAATTTTCGTTGAAGACGTTGGAGTCATTTTTGAGAAAATGTCGTTTGAGCATTTCTGAAAATGCGCCATTTTGAGCTCATTATCGCCAAAAAAATTTAATCTTCTTTGAGAAACTTTTTGAGACATCATTTTATGCACTTTTTCTCAAAAATTCCATAAATTATAAAAACCTTTTGTAATGTTAACTTATGTAGTGTGATGTAAAATTTTGTAATTAATGACGCGAGGGATATTTCATTTAGGTAGTTTTTGAAAAATCAAAAACCTATAGCAAAATGATGTTACATTCAATCAATATGATGTAACGTTATTCAGTGCATTAAGCTCTTTCCATACAAACATTCTCAAGAAAGAATGTGCAGCGTTTTTGACAAAATCACGTTTTTCAAGTTGCCTATATTTTACTCAAAATTACGCAAAAGTACTATATTCAAAATATGTACGCGACTTTAATTAAATGTTTAATTGTGAAGAACAACTTTCTTTTGAAGAAAAAAATCTCTTTAATAACGTAGTTGAATGCGGAATCCCATATCCTTAAAAAAAAATAACTTGCCAGTGCGGAACCCCCGTTCTGAAGCAGTGCCTCACCTGGGAAGCGTCTTGCGCAAAGATGGCGTCGAAGGCGAACATCTTGGGCGCGGTGACGCCGATGCGCCGGTCCTCCGGGGCGGAGGAGCCGCCGCAGGCCGCGGGGTCGAACAGGGTGACCTGCTTGCGGCGCGCGTCCACGCTGAAGAAGGAGGACGTGGCGGCGGCCGCGGCCGCGGAGGCGCCGTCGTGGCTGCCTGCGCGCCCGTTCTCCTCGGTGCCGTCGCTGGTCGCTGGACCGGGGCCGGGGGCGGGGGCGGGGGCGGCGGCAGGCGACGCGGGCGAGGCGTCGGAGCCCGCCTGGGAAGTCCTCGAAAGCGGGCTCGCAGGGGAGTCTTCGCGGGGCGCTGGTTCGTGGCTGCCATCGGATACTCTCAGCATCACCTTCACCTGCGCACAATTGCATATTCATGAATGATACACATTACGCATCTAAAAAAAAGAATGGACATAAGTGTAATGTGGTCGTAGAACGTTACAGGATTTAAAAAAATTAAAAAATTAAATCTATTTGCATTCCACCAGTTGATACGCGGCGCCAATTTAATTACAGTACAGATATTAACAGACATCTCTGGAGAAATAAGGCTGACGCTTGTGAATACTGAACGTTGGCGAACGTTCTGCAACGTTGAGAATTCATGGAGCGAGTTGTTTAAACGTTTAGTGTATTAGAGGACAGGAGGAGAGGAGGATAAAGTTTCAAATATTCAGATAGAGCTACTAATATAACATATTAGTTTCATTTCAAGAAATATACGTTAGCTATATAACAAAACACATATTAAAGGCAAACTCATCGAGTTATAAAAAATTAATCAATACGAATTGTATACGTAATGGCCAGTGTCAAAAGCATAATGTAATGGTGAAAGTCTACGTTTGCTGCTACCTCACATAAATGAACTCTTTGGCGAGACTCAGAAGAGAATTTTGACTTTTTGGGTTCAGTGACTCCCTTGAAAGTAGTCAGAAGATTGACCTTGGAGAAGCTAAGGCTGGAGATACTTAGTTTCTCCGAGACCTGCACATTTCAGAAGCCTTTGTTTGACAGAGACTCGCCAGACATAACGTTGGCATCTGACCTAGATCCCTGAGTGGTGCCAAGGAACGTCGTGAAATATTACACCGCATGTGGCCACCTGTTTATTTGCGCCGAAGACAAACCGATATGCAGCGCACAATCAAGAGCAAGTGAACACATTGCAGAAGCCAGACTTGCCACCGAACTTTAGGTATGGGCACGTGTAGCAATAGACAAACCGCAAATGCTAGCGGAGGAATGGCAGTGGGACGGTAGTATCAACATTCACCCTTCTGAAGCAGAGAGCTCGCGATTATGTGTCACAAAGAGACCATGCAGCATCAGAAGACTAGTCTATTGCCGGACTGAGGAAATCGCTGAACAACGCAGACGATCTCTACAGCTGAGAGAGAGAGAGAGAGAGAGAGAGAGAGAGAGAGAGAGAGAGAGGGAGGGGTAACGGGAAAACACGCAGTGGACCGCGGGATGTAAAGATGAAAAAAGCACTGCGCAAACCCATCAAGCAAATCAAGTGGTTATCATTAATCAAAGAAATGAGGATCCGTGACGTCTGGAATACAGAATTGTTACAGGAAACTTGCAACAATCGTCACTCCTTTTTCTAGAGAAAGTCGCGAAAAAATCGACCCTCCTTTGCTTCTATCTTCCTGAGAAAACCAATATATGATCGCTTGAGATCAGCGTTATCCCACTGTCTACAGTGCTGCAGCTGAAGAGCGTAGTCGATTACCTCAGGAATACACCAGCCAAGGACGGTATTTTTTGCGTACCTCTGTAGAGGTACTACAGTTGACATTAAAATCCAACCGACTATTGTCATTGACAACATACAGTAGTTGCCTGCAGATTGAATTTTTTAGCTAACATCTCATTCTGTGGGACAAGGAGGAATACATCTCGTCCTGTCCATCCAGACCCCTGTGCACCCTGAACACACCGGGCAGTACTGTAGGCGCTGTTTCTATCCTGACCAATCATGATCTTTCGAAAACCTGGAGATCAATCGGAATCGCAGTTTGGATCCAGATGCTGACGGTCTCCATTAGAGCCCTAAGACGTTTTGTTACAGCGGCTGAGGTAGCTCAGATGAAAAACCTCTAATCCTGTAAAGTCTCTACTCTCTCCCTCTCTCTCTCTCTCTCTCTCTCTCGCTCTCTATCTCTATCTCTATCTCTCTCTACTCAACTCTACACGCCAAGAACACTTTCAGCGTGACAAAATGGAATGATGTAACAGCAGCGCTGTAAGACATGTTTAAAATGTACCTGCATACCTCCCGAGACTCAGATTTTTTGAATGACCGAACAATCCTGTACGAGATGGAGAAAGAACGACCCAGGAAGGAAATCACAGCAGGCAATGCGCAGGGCCCAGTGTTGGGCCGGGACCAAAGTGAAAGAGGGTACATGAGTCATTTGTGGACTGCAGCAGTAAAAATTCTACTTGACAAAGACATAAAATGGTGGTTGCTCAAGAACAACAAATAAAATATTCACGTATAACACTGAAATTAATTAGTTAAAACGACGTCTTTGAGATCACTACAGTAACATAATATAGAATAGTATTATACACAGTATAACACTTATTTTCTTACGAAGAATATAAACGTGTTGCCGTTTCATAATGCAACACTTTACTATCAAATATTTAATAGCGGGTGGCCTTGGAGCCTTTCTGTTGCATGGCAGCAGTGTCGGACGAAGAATTTACGATCATATGGTGTTATTTGTGGGGACACGGCCATTGGCCATAGTTCCGCACCTCTATTTTGACCCACGCGTCCTTTGAAGCCTGCCACCAGCGCCAGACAAGGGGTTCGTTTTTCGAGCAGGCGTGGGCGTCCCTTGGTACACTTAGGTATTATTCTCACTTTCTACAACAGACTTTGTTCTCAATTAACTAAACACTAACTAAACGGCTGGGAGAATGTGAGATATCCTGAGGATAGGACACTGCTACAGAGATACTATTTTGCGGCGTCATATTTCTTCTCTATGCCACAAGTGTGACATGAGTATGACACTTAGGGCCACTCCGGCCTGCGACAGTGCAGGCACGTCACGTGCGATTGAACGGGCTCACTGATGGTTCAGAGGCCAGTAAGCTAACCGCTCGCCCTCCGAGATCGTGAGCATTGGTGAACTGAGTATGAGAAATCAGTTTGAACACGCGTTTTAAGAATAGCCGAAATAGTACAATCAAATATTTGATTTTTGTTCAAGCAAAATTCTAACTGTGTCATTATTTTTTATTTTTTACGAATTCCTGAGTATCTAACAAAACTACAGACATCTATGAAAAAGCTAGAGGCTGCATAGTTTTGTTTTCTGCGCGAATTAGAAATTAGTAATATCAAGACATCGTCTGTCATACTGATACAGGAATGGATGGCAGTCTTAAACCGGAAAAGCAAAGCCGAAGCGTGAGACGATGCCAGAAAAAAGACGGACGCATGGCAGGCGAGATGGGACAGCAGAGGAAGAAAACCTGCTTGGCTCAGACTTCGCGTTGCAGCCTCTGAGCTGAAGAAAACACTGAGAGATTAACGTTTACAGCACAAAGTTCTTAAGCGAGTACGGTTATTTTGCATCATATCAACATTGATGTATTCGTTAGCCGCATTTCATTTAGCTGAATTAGCCTCTCTGTAAATACGTTTTTCGTGTGCAAAAGACGGGCGCCATGCAAAGAGCGCCTACTAGCTGAACTAGATGATTTGATGCTAGGCATTGCGAAGATTATCGAACACGCGTGTAAATGGCGCGTGGCGTCTACTTGGCTTGAGTATCTGCGCAAGACAATCGATCTCAGCCTGCACCAGGGCCGCGAGAATAATAAAACAATAAAACTGACAACGACCTGCGCCGTAGACCCGGTAACAGCGCAAAATGATTCTTAATGAGGTCTGACCGCCTTCACGAAGCAATGCTTCCATGCAATTTCGGTTCAAATGAGTTTGTGGTTTTGGGGCTGTTAGTGTTCTACATGAATACTCTCCTAATTATTTATGAAAATTTCGTCAGTCGCCCTCGTAAAAACGAAAAATATAAAGTGAAAGGCCGCCATGCTTCTATCATTCTGTAAGCGACGCAATAAAAACCTTCGTCAGAAACAGAGCTGTAGGTGGGGTTTTCCGAGTCTCGTCGGAATGGAAGCTCCCTAGAGAGTCACCCTCCTCCGCCCGCTCGTTTCGCTGGTAAACAAGTGGATGTGGAAAGTTCGAGAATATTGAAGCAAGTGGTTAGCACAGAAATCGGGGATTAACTTATTAAATGACGTAGACAGACCAATCGAATTTAGAAATGACGCAACGTAGAAATTTGTCCGTCACGAAGGAGTAATCCCTGGGCAGATACACGTTGACTATATTTCGGAGGGAACCGATATTGGCTATTTTTCGGAGAGGACTGACATTGACTAGATTTCGGAGTCAGACGTTGAATAGATTTCAGAAGAATTTCGGAGGCAAAGGAACGCACCTACTATATGAACTTTGCACTTTACCGCTTTTGTGCCATGACTACAATTGCTCTATCCTTTCTAACCGACTTCGTAAAAGCGGTCACACGTGTACGTATAATAGTCTAGATCATCATATTCGAAGACTCGAAGGCAAATCAGACGGTTGGACAACAATAGGCAACACCGCGGAACCTTCCAGCCGTTCACCCCCAGAAGCAAAATTACAAGTAGCATTATCAATCGTGCCTGGAATCATTTGCTGCGATATATTATGATACTAACTTTTCGTAGTTTCTCAGTCCACACTAACCTTTTTTTAATCATTGACACATCTACATACAAATAAGCAAACCGGCTAACAAGCTCTAACAAATACACGTAGAGTTGCACAATCTGATCCACAAATGATCAAGGATATCCCCAGTGAGCCCACCAAATCTCTTCACTTCTCAATGGAAAACTCCCATTCAACGTCTCTGTCACTGATGTATTTAAGTCGGGTTTACCGGCAGTGGCTAAACTCTCACCAACATTAGGCACGCAAATAATCAATTGAAACTGCATCTGAGGCATAAACGTTCCTGCCTCAGATATGGCATAATATTTTGAGGAGGCACGTCCTATGGTACCCAAACGTTTAGATTGAAAAAAACTATTATACGAATAATAACCGACTACCACCCACGTGATTCTTGCAAGTATCGCTTCATTGAGTTTGAAATCGTACCATTGCCTTGCCTATTAATTACCGAATTGTAGATTTGCGTCTAAATTGTCTTACGTAAGGGTGTGAACATATCTTCTCGAAAAGCAGATATTTGTTAATAAAACACAGGTCGTGGTAATCATATTAAAAAGGTAAAAGTAGTATTTATAGCTAGCTAGCAGAAATTCACATACTGTAAGATATGAACGGTTACAAGTAATTATTATCATCTATACATTGTCAGATGATATTAAAAAATTAAAATCGTTACACAAAGTAAAGTGCTAAGTAAAATATTTCCTGCTACATAACTGTTTCTAGAGAGTACACTGACCGTCAAAAAGGAAAATAATATTTATTTTAACAATGCCATATTCGCAATGATATTTAAATAAAATTAACACTGTATAATTCTAAAAGTCTAAATATGCTTGTAACAAGAATTGTACTTCAGAATCTGGGTCAATGTCATCATCTCCATAATTTTTTTCATACTGTTTTCCTTGATACATCGACCGAGTTCTGAGATAGCCCCTTGTTTTACTTTTGGACATAAATGTAGCTTCCCTGCACGTACATTTTGTTGAGTTATAATTTTGCTAATTGTGGTACGAATAGCCAAATCGGCAGTTCGTTTACCGACGAAAATACGTTTTCTTTTAATACTCAGGAGAAAAAGTTTCTAATTATCAAATGTCTTTTGCCTCGTCTTGTTGATTCATTTATTCCTCGGGGATCCGGAACTAATTGTGGAACTCAAGAAAACGTGCGCAAATCATACTTTCCCTATTAATCATATACAATTTACGCTGTTTTTTGACAAAAAATCAAATCAAATTCGCAAACTACTCCTTTCCACTGCTACAGATCCACTCAACAGGTGGGTGGCCTTCATCAAACAATTACTTCACCCTAATTGATATCTGACGACGCCTCCAATCAACGAATGGAGAAAAAGTCAATCATCAAACTATCGGTCAATAACAAAGACTCCCAACAACTAACCTCTTGAAGTCCATAATAGATGATCTACAATATTATCTTGATTCTGCCGATCTAATACTAGAAGAGCACAAACGAAATCGGGGACGATAAAAAAGGGCGAAAGAAGAATTGATCAATGAAAACACAAGAAGATGGCTAATGAACTCGCATGTCGCCTGGACCGACCACAGGCACTGACAGCTGGATAATGAAGTCCGAGAAGCTTATTAGGCGATTCCAAGCGAAATTCGACGATCTATCATTCCGACTTTAGTGATAGTCTTTAGTCCGAGTAACTTTTGTGATATGTCTGGTGATCTTAAAGTTCCAAACACGTATTGATTTACCACACGTCTCTGTGATGGTCATGCATTTCTACATATAAATCCAAACTTACAAAATTATTTTATAATATGTAACCGTATATGTTTAGTACTTGCTATCAATGTCCATGACACGTTCCTTATAAAGCTGAATTGCTTCTTCATGATGTTTAACTAGCTCTTCATGCAAACCGATTTCGTCAATGAAGTCTTGCTTCTACTTGTTCACTCCTTCTTTTGCTTCTTACCAAAAAGCTTCTTTGTGTGAGTCTCTCATTGCGACAAAACCACCACCCACTTATCTGACTGATCTATCAGGACCTCCACCCTTTCCAGCATGGTAGGCCATATCACAATGTTGTGAATGTAGTCTAAATTCGTAATTTGACATACTACAGCACACTCAACGTGAGATTGAGCGAAGGTAATTCATTATTGACTGCGCTCTTGCAGACATGGTTAGGAGAATATATGGAGAGGAGAAGAGACTGGCAAGAGGA